AGAACTGCCCTGGGACACCACTAGAGTTCCTGTTCTCGCCAAACTGTAGCTGTGGGATTGGCTTTTTTGAAGGAAAGAATTCCATAAAAATCTGGTTGAACTGAAACTCCAATTTTCCACCTAAACATATTTCCAGCTAGATTGATCCTTGGATTTGGAAACAAAACACCTGTCTGCAGACATGTTTGACCTGACTTCCACCCAGGCAGGGGCAAGGACTGGTGTAGAAGCAGTACGCGATGGCATAGATTTGGGGGAGTGTGTCTCCTTGCATGCCCCCTGTAACGGGGTGGACTTGGCCCAAAACCTGCCAGAGGCTTGTGGCTTTGCCACTCCCCACCCCAGCGGAAAAAGTAGGGGAGAGGTCCTCCAGGCAAGCTAGAGTGGCTGCTTCTGCTGCAGCCAATCAGAGCCCACCAAGCCTGTGTAAAGAAGCTGATGGGACAGGGTCTGGCAGTTCCTTTCTGAAGTTCAAGTCTGGCAGCACCAGGGAGGCACTGGGAAGGCAGCGGTACCTCGGACAGCTCCATGTGGGAGCTGGTTTGCAGACTCAGCTGAAGCCCAGGTCCGGTGGCTGAAGACCGGCCATGTTGGGCTACGGCAAATTGCAGAACCCTGGACAGGGTGCAGTGAGGACTTAATTTCAAACCCGATAAGTGGGAGCAGATTTTTCAGGAGGTGACCCAGGGAGTGAGCAGCAATGGACACTGAGGACACTAAGCAAGCAACTGCTACTTACAGCATCCCTGAGCTGGAATCCAGAGCAGTGGGTGGGGCTAGAGGCCCTCTCAACTCCTTGTAGTTGCAAAAGGGAGCAGGAAAAATGCCTGATCCCAGGCGACTGTAAAGAAAGGGCCTCTGGCATCTTTTCATTCCCCGTGCCGATGTGGGGAGAGGAGCTTGTGGGGACACCTGTCCTCAGCCAAAAGTGGTGAGACCTTTACACCCCCATTTGCACCTGCTCCTGCTGACCATCATCCCTTGATACAGTGACTAGACACTGGGTGAAACCAGACGTGGGTGAAACTATCCACACAAAGGCTGCGTCTAAATTGGCATGATTGTCCGCATTTTCGGAACAGAGCGTCTAGATTGGCACAGGCACTTTTCCGCAAAAGCACTTTTAGCCAGCGGGACTTTTTTGCTCAAAACAGTACTATGCTGTCTACAGTGGCCCTGTTGCGCAAATGATTTGCGAAAGAAGGCTTTTGTCCAAATGGGAGCAGCATAGTATTTCCGCAAGAACATTAACGATCTTACATGAGATCGTCAGTGTTCTTGCGGAAATTCAAGTGGCCAGTGTAGACAGCTGGCAAGTTTTTCCACAAAAGCAGATAAGTTTGCGGAAAAACTGGCCCGTCTAGACACAGCCATGGTGTTTGTAGTTTTTTGGCTGGCTGTGAAATGCGATATCCAGTTAATATCTTTGTTCAAGCCCAGGGAACCAGTTGGATTTGCAGAGGAATGCCAATCCTGCACTCTCTCTCCATGGTTGGCTGCTGAAATTGACATAAAAAAGCCCCTATTTCCTGGTTTGGGTGACAATCGAAGAATACAAGTCTTCGGCTACGTCTACACTATGACTTTTCTCAGAAAAAATATGCTAATGAGGGACACATTTGCATAAGTCGCGATCTCATTTCCATATTTTCTGCCGATCCATGTTTGCACTCGCAGTTTTTCCGCAAAAACAAGCAGTGTAGATGTTTTCTTTTTGCACAAAAGCCTCGTTTTCTGCAAGATATTTTAGCCCCCAAAAAGGGGGGTTGTGCAAAAAGAAAATGACCACGCTGCTTGTTTTTGCGGAAAAAACGCTAGTGCAAACATGGATCGGCAGAAAATATGGAAATGAGATCACAACTTATGCAAATGAGTCCCTCATTAGAATATTTGCAGAGAAAACTCCAAGTGTAAAGGTAGCCTTAATGTGCCAACTCTTATTATGTTTGATGGTGTATATTCTGGCAAACCATCTGGAAATAGAAATAGATTTAGATGTTTGTGGTTATTCTTTTGTTTATAGCTCTGGAGTAGCTACTGTAACATAATAGAGGGAGAGAATGTCATGATCTCCTCTTTAGAAATGTGGTTTGTAACCATTGTTATATGTATGAGGAAGGAACATGTAGGAGATAAGTGTGAAGACGTCCATCGGAGAAGAGATGCTAATGGGAGGATCCAACAGTGGACAGGGTAGCATTGCAGATGGCTGCATGTTTATCTGCCCTCCTTGGATAACCCAAGACCATGAGGGACAGGGCGAGCATTTATCAACTGGGACACAATATTTGTGATTCAACCAAGCATAGCTTGGCAGCAAAAAGAAGAGAAGGAGAAAAGGGAAAAACAGGAGATGGCAAATTTCCCTCAGAAAAACAGCATGGCAGTGCTAAATTCCCTGATCCCAATGAAGGAGCAACTTCTATGTAAAGAAGGTACAGATGTGGTCTCCTCACCTCAAAAAAGATATTTTGGCCTTGGAAAGGGTTCAGAAAAGGGCAACTAAAAGGATTAGGGGTTTGGAACGGGTCCCATATGAGGAGAGGTTAAAGCGACTGGGACTCTTCAGTTTAGAAAAGAGGAGACTGAGGGGGGATATGATAGAGGTATATAAAATCGTGAGTGGTGTAGAGAGGGTGGATAAAGAAAAGTTATTTATTAGTTCCCATAATAGAAGAACTAGAGGACACCAGATTAAATTAATAGGTAGCAGGTTTAAAACTAATAAAAGAAAGTTCTTCTTCACACAGCGTGTAGTCAGCCTGTGGAACTCCTTGCTAGAGGAGGCTGTGAAGGCTAGGACTATAACAGAGTTTAAAGGGAAGCTAGATAATTTCATGAAGGTTAGGTCCATAAAAGGCTATTAGCCAGGGGATAGAAATGGTGTCCCTGGCCTCTGTTTGTCAGAGGCTGGAGAAGGATGGCAGGAGACAAATCGCTTGATCATTGTCTTCGATCCACCCCCTCTGGGGCACCTGGTGTTGGCCACTGTCGGCAGACAGGCTACTGGGCTAGATGGACATTTGGTCTGACCCACTACGGCCGTTCTTATGTTCTTATGCCATAGTACATCCTGCCAAGGACTGGAGCATCGGTTTGCACAGATAGACGCTCCCTCTCCTCCATTGGTAAGCACATCTGGTTGGTCTTGGACCTGGAATGATGGGACAGTGTGTGTGTTTGTCTATCTATGTGTGCATATGATAACTGCTTTGCCATTGTATTCTCTATAAACCCGGCCGAGGGGTGTCGGGTAAGTTCTTTTCCTGGCCATTTGGTAGCTCCCTGGTTCACTTCCTCTGGAGGCGGCAATGTCTGGTCCTCACAAGAATCTGAGGTTAGGAGCTCACTAGCCCAGTCCACAGTGCTATGAGTTCTTGTACTCAGCTTGTGACCAGACTTCAGCCACTGGACCTGGGCCTCCCCCAGCTCTAGAATTCAGCTTACACGTGGAGCTGTCCGCAGTGCTGCTTTTCTCCCCATTAGTTTATAGAGGTGCCTGGGTCGAGCTCCTGTGAGGAACTGCCAGGCCCCAGCCCACCAGATTCTTTTATACTGGTCTGCTGGGCCCTGATTGGCTGACAGAGAGACAGCCAAGCTATCCAGCCTGGAGGACCTCTCTTCTGCTCCTCTCTTTAGGATGGGGTGTGGCACTGCCTCCAGCATATTGTAAAGGGTATCAGGACCTAGTCCACCCCATAACAAACCTTCCCCCAAGATCCCATGTACTTCCTATAAGCAAAACACAATTGCTTTGTAGAAGAACAGCTACTTTTAATATACATAACTTGCTTACTGGTATTTCAACTCCAACTCATCATCTAAAGAAGTGGGTTTTGCCCATGTAAGCCCATGATAACTTAAAGAAATATGTGTTACTCTTGAAGGAGCATTAGGACTACGTCTTTTTAAATACACTCAAGTTTGTGAGGTGCTCACAGCTGCTATGTTGATGTGGGTCATAGAAAGATGCATCAACATTTTTAACCCTGTAATAAGAAAGGCAAGTCTAGTTACCCGCGCTCAAAGATGGGTAAAGGGAGGCAGCAAGTATTTAAGAGCCACATTTTCATATCTCTCCACTGAAGACCTGAATTAGTGACTACTTCTGAATACACTGCATCTAGATAGTTTGACTGAGTAGAGGGAACGGCATGTTGTTGAGACTGGCAGATTTCCTTCTTTTAAAGCAATTTCTCCAATCTTCAAGGAATATCTTCCTGGAACATGGGAAGTGAAAATAAAATTGCAAACCTGCATTCTTCTGTTTAAAACAATTTGTACTGATGATGCCAAGAAGGACAGGGGAGGCCAGGAGTGCGGAATCTGTTTTCCTTTCCTGTGAGCATCATCAAACACTGGCACATCATGTAGGTTCTGTGATATTATCAAGAGACGCTAAGAACCCCATGTCTGCGAGTGGGGGAGAATCCACTCTCTTAGTCCATGTGTATCAAGCAATAGAAAGGGCTTTGAATTGCAAAGCTCTACTCATCCCTGACATAACTGTCCCATTGCCCTAACACGCTGTGATGGAAATCACCTCTCTCCTCCTCGTGCATGGACACAAAGCAGGGCACATTTGGTACAAGAACTCCACAGAGCACAGAAATGGCTGCAGAGTAGCAGGATATTAGGTAAACTCCCTTTGGTTCACCCACAGAAAAAACACACATCACCCTTGGAACTGCCCAATGCAATCAAAAGCACTGGAAAGAAGAGGGAGCTAGATTTGATGCTCCCCTTTCATCCCAATACAGAAAGTTCCCCTTTTTGAAAGCACATCACCTAGATTTTTTTTGTGCACACACAATAGACGAATGCAGCCCTGATCTAAAGGGTGACCTGCAGCCTCTGTGGGAATACAGGCCCATGAATACTAACAAGATAATATTGAACAATACCATCATGGGCTCTGCAAAATGACGCCATAGTAGGGAGGGAACTGAAGTCGTCTGTTTCCCCTGCCCATCACTCAAGCAGCACTGGGATAAGCACATTCAAGACTTTGTTAGCAGTTTATTCTTTGCTTTTCTCAGTGCGTCCTTAACCTCCCTGTTCCTCAGGCTGTAGATGAGGGGGTTCAACATAGGGATCACTGCCGTGTAAAACACGGAGGCTATTTTATCCATGTCCATGGAATAGAGGAGGTGGGTCGGAAATAAATGTAGAGTTGGGTGCCATGAAACATGCCCACGGCACACAAGTGGGAAGCGCAGGTGGAGAAGGCTTTGTACTGGCCCTCGGCAGAGCGGATCCGCAGGATGGTGGAGAAGATACAGACATAGGACAGGAGGATGGTCAGAGCGCTGCTCACTAAGATGTAGCATATGGACGCAAATATCAGAATCTCACTGGGGCGGGTGTCAGAGCAGGAGAGAACCAGCAGTGGGGGGGAGTCGCAGTAGAAAAGATTGAGGATGTTGGATCTGCAGAATGACAGCTGGAATATATAACACGTCAGTATCAGTGAATCTACCAATCCCACAGCAAACACCCCAGCCACCAGCTGGTTACAGCGCTGTCTGGATATTATGACCGGATAGAGCAGTGGGTTACAGATGGCCACATAACGGTCGTACGCCATCACAGCCAGCAAGAGACACTCAATGTCTACGCAATGAAGAAAGAAATACATTTGCACAGCGCAGGCAGTGCGAGAAATGCTTTTCCTCTCCGCTAAGAAAATCTGCAGAATCTGAGGAACAATCACTGAGGAATAGCAGAGATCAGAGAAAGACAAAATCCGGAGGAAAAAGTACATGGGGGTGTGGAGTCGGGAGTCAATTGTGATTAACAAGATCATCCTCCCATTCCCTACCAGGGTAATAACATAGATCAGTAGGAACAACACAAACAGGGGGGCCTGCATCTCCGGATGGTCTGTCAGTCCTGAGAGAATGAATTCAGTCGCTTCCGAGTGATTTCCCTCTTCCATCTCCTCTGAGCCAAAAACGGGCAGGTCCAGGGATGTGGGCTGGTGGATGGATCTGGGAACGTGTCCTTTCACTGTTACGAAGTAAGTGATGGAACATGGAGGTCAGTTTCTCAACAGGTAGCAGTACGAGACCAGGAAAGGGCTTAGTTCATAGAGCCAGATGTTCACAACTGGACTTTGCTCTTGTTTGATCAATTTCACACACCGTACACATACAAGGACACACAGCTTAATCACCCCCCCCCACACACACACACACAAATATTCCTGTTCTCTATTCTGAGCAAAAAACAGCAATTTGTAACTTTTTTGTGGGAGAATGAGGGTGAAACCATCTGTGTCTAACGAGATCATTGCTTAGCTCATGAAGAGCTGAGAGTAAACGAGTGTCAATCTCTCTGCCCTTTTTGGGCAAGCGGACCTCTGTGGATCGGCATGTCGGTTGGGGATGAAAGTTGCTCAGTGTGATAATTAACCTCTTTGGCATCTTATCATGGCATTTACATTAGTCTGTATGAAACCCTTGAGATGCAAAGGCAGGAAGGCACCAGCTTCTATGACTAACTAATCACCTATTTTTTTCCAAATTTCTTGTCCTTTAAACTCAATAGGCAGGACCGGGTACTTCTGTCAGAGACACTGTCCGTGTGCGTGTGTGACTGAAGCAGGACAACAGCACGTACCTGCTATCAGCAGAGAGAGACGTGGCGGTGTTTCTCCATTGATAGAAATGGACACTTTGGTGCAATTGGGAGGTTTTATTCTGAGGTCTGTGATCTACGGGAAAAGATCCCTAGAGCTACCTGGAATATCTGAGCTCAGAGACACAACAACAAATTAATGAGCTCAGTGAATCTCAGCCATGGGACTTATACCCCGGGGATTAATTTGGTGCGTTTTTTCCTCCTGTGTCAGTATATGATGCAATTTTTATCCAAGTAACAGAGTCCAAGCCTGAGGGTTATTTCTTTCTTCTCCTCTCACTATAACCTGGCTCCTGCATGGAGCTGTGCCAGAAAGTGTATATTTGTGGAGACCCACATCTTTTACCTGAAAACTTAATATTTCAGCTTGGAAACAAAAGACACAGAGATGGACCACGTACCACATTGCACCCTTCTCTGCCCTTGGCTCAGCTCTCAGGCTGGACTCCATCTCCTCTGTTGCATGATGCTCTGTCTTCCTGCAGATCTGACCCCGGACATCACTAGAGTTCCCATTTTCGCCAGTCTACGGCTGTGGGATGTGTTGTTGTGAAGGAAAAGAATTCTGTGAAAATCTAATTTCCCACTTAAAAAAATACTTTGGTCAGCCTGACTTCAATTTGCCAGGGGCAAGGACTAGTGATTGGACTTGATGACCCTTGAGGTCCCTTCCAGTTCTAGTATTCTCTGATTCTATGACTCTATGATTCTTGGAGGAGTTGTCCAGGGAGTGAGCAGCAGTGGGCGTAAAGACACTTAGCGGGCAACTGCTGTGTCTGTTGTCCCTAGGCCGGGATCCAGATGTGTGGGTGGGGCTAGAGGCCCCCTCAGATTCTTGTAGTGACAGAAGGAAGCAGGAAAGAACCCTGGTGCTAGGCTACCAAGAAGAAATGGCTTCTGGAGCCCTTCCACACCTAGAGCCAGTGGGAGGAGAGGAGCTTGTGGAGACCTGTCCTCAGCCAAAAGGGGGCGCTCTCCAGAGGAGGGGAGCCCTTTACACCCCCATTTGCTCCTGCTGATCATCCCTTGATACAGCGACCAAGACAAAACAAAGCTGGGGGGAGGATGGTAAAACTTTCCACAGACAGTGTTGATCCTGTTGCCCAGGAATTTTGGCTATGAACTAAAGAGCTGGCCAGAAAACGAGTGCCAATCTCTCTATCCTCTTTGGGCAAGGGGAGTTCTGTGGTCTGCATGTCAGTTTGGGGTGAAACTTGCTCACTGTGATAATGAAGCTCTTTGACATCTGAGAATGGTATTTACATTAGTCTGTATTAAATCCCCGAGACGTAAAGACAGGAAGGCACCAGCTTCTGTGACTAACGAATGGCCTATTATTCCCAAGCAAATTTCTCATCCTTTAACTCAATAGGCAGGAACTGGGACTTCTGTGAGAGACTCTCTGTGTCAGTGTGTGACTCTGATGAAGAACAACAGCACGTACCTGTGGAGAGGAGAAAGAGTGACATGCTGGTGTTTCTCCATTGATAGAAACTGACACTATGTTGCAATTGAGAGGTTTTATACTGAGATCATGATCTTTGGGACAGGATCCCTGGAGTTAGTGGGAATTCGTGAGCTCAGAGAGACACAACAACAAATTTTCGAGCTCAGTGAATCTCAGGCATGGGACTGATACCCTGGGTATTAATTTGGTGCCTTTTTATCTCCTGCAGCAATACGTGATGCAATTTGTATCGGGGTTGCAAAGTCTAACATTCTGCTCTTGTTACTACAAATTGGCTCCTGTGTAGAGCTGACTCAGAAAGTGTGTGTTTTTTGAGACCAACATTTTTCAGCTGAAAAATTAATATTTCAGCACCCGAACAAAACACACAGGGATGCCCCAGGTACCACATCCACTCCCTTCTCTGCCATGGACCCGGCTCCCAGGCTGAACTCCATCCCCTCTGGTGCATGATGCTCTGTCCTTCTGCATAACTGCCCCGGGACATCACTAGAGTTCCCATTCCCACCAAACTATGATGGGAACTATATATATATAGGAAAACTAGATTTCCATGAAAATCTAGTTGAAATGAAAATCCAATTTCCCACTTTCAAAAAATATTCTAAGGCAGAAATTTTCATCCAGCCTGAGTGCCAGGTTCGGAAACCAAAGAACTAAAGGGTCCATCTCCACATGGGGTTGGCAGGAGTTGCACATAATGGTGGAGATTTGGGGGAGTGTGTTCCCTTGCCTGCTCCCTGTGGTGGGGTGGACTTGGCCCAAAACCTCTTCTTCCTGAAGGCTTGTGGCCTGGACACACCTTCTCCATGGACTTGGCCCAAAACCTCTTCTTGAAGGCTTGTGGCCTGGACACACATCCTCCTGGCCAAAGAGCAGATGTGTGGTCCTCCAGGGAAGCTAGAGAGGCTGTTTCTGCTTCAGCCAATCAGGGCCCAGTATAAAGAAACTGCTGGGCCAGGGCCTGGCAGTTCCTCTCTGGAGTTCAAGCGAGGCAGCCCCAGGGACGGACTGGGAATGCTGCGGTACCTTGGACTGCTCCAAATGGTCAGCTGAAGCCCAGGTCAGGTGGCAGAAGACCGGTTGTGTTGAGCTACAGTGAATTGCAGAACTCTGGACAGGGCGCAGTGAGGAATTTATCTCAAAGCTTGAAAAAAGGGCAAGGAAAGGACAGCTTCTTGGAGGAGATGCCCAAGTAGTGAGCAGCAGTGGGCAGTAAGGACAGTTAGTGGGCAAGTGCTATGTCTATTGTCCCTGGGCCAGGATCCCATGGTGTGGGTCGGGCCGTAGGCTCCCTCAGCTCCTTGTAGCTACAGAAGTGGGTAGGAAAGAAGCCTGGTCCCATGCAACTGAGAAGAAAGGGCGTCTCGGATCCTTCCACGCCCAGAGCCAGTGGGAAGAGAAGAGCTTGTGAGCAAGCCAAAAGGGGGAACTTCCGAGAGGTAAGCCCTTTACACTCCCATTTGCTCTTCCTGATCATCATCCCTTGATACAGTGACAAAGACACAAAATGAAACTAGGGGTGGGTGAACCTTTCCACACATGGTGTTGGTCCATTTTTTCCCCCACAAAAGTAGGCCATGAGGTAAAAAGCTGGCAGTGGCAAGGGAAAAGTGGCGGGATTGAAATGATTCATCCAATTCAGAATCACTCTTTTTTGTGGTTGACTTTTCAATTCACCAGAACTTTTGTCTGGTTTTGGTGTCAGTAAATGGATTTTTTCCCCCAGGGGAACCTGACAAGTTAGTTCCACGTCCAGTTCTATCCATGTCCCCTTCACAGAGCTCTGAATCACAAAGTTCCCTGAACACCTGCTCTTCAGAGTCTTCCATGTGTTTTCCAGTAGACCAAAGAGGAGGGAATCATTGTAAACATGGTGATGTTGGGTAGGATGTGAGTTTTTTGTGTTTATTTCTCTTAGAGAAGGAACACCCCAACCCTGAATACCATTTTGGTATTCAGTTCAATGCAGAATGCCAAAGAGGATTCCCTCAGGCAATGCACTCCCATAGAAACTTTACATTTTTTCCTTCTTGTTTTGTAGCTGTCTTAATCTATAATACAGGCCATTCTGATGTATGGCATTGTTCCACACTGGCTGCATAGAGAGCACAGGCAGAGAGGACGAGACGTCTGAGTTGCCCCATTTTTCTCCCAACACAGAGCCCTGCGCACTTGCAAAGCAAATCACATGGATTGCCATATCCGTTCATGAGCAAGAAACCTTTATAAACCTAACAGATCCCTAGTGCCTATTCCAAAGAGTACAATGTCATGTGATGCAATGCCTGCCAGACATGACAAACTCACTGCATCTAACTTATAGCTCGCCTTCAAAAAGCCTGGTGTGACGGAACCATCACACAGCTCTGGCCAGGTACTAATAACATTCTCAAACGTGAAAGCAAATCGACCAACCGAAAAAAGATGTTGGTTTGCCTTGGGAGTCTGGCAGGCCACAAGCCAGTTGGAACAAAGCTGAACGCTGCTAAATACAAAGCTGGAATCCGTCTGGCTCTCCCGTGTGTTGATAAGGTTCAAAGAGATATTAAATTCATATGTAGGTGTTTAAAGTTTAGACTCTATGAATTGTCTTTAAGTTGCTGCTGGCATTAATATCACTCCTAGCACCTGCTGTACCACTGGTGGGGAGGGTAAAGAGGGGACCTTCCTTGGCGCATGGCACTTCAAAAAGATCCTGAGCTCCCAGCTCCCAAATTATTTATAACAGGGAAAAAAAGGTAGCTGTGAATTGTAGCTGGACTGGTGCTAACGAGGCTAATTAAGTGGGCTGGAAGTGTCCCCGCCTTCGCTTTTTGATGTAATAAATGCAGTTCTTAGGTATAGCGGACACTGGCTTAAAATGCAACATCCATCTGAGCCCAGGGAATCAGGCTCAGATTTGCAGAAGAATGCCAATTCTGCATTCTCTCTCTATGATTAGCTGCTGAAATTGAGGTAGAAAAATTCCTATTTCCTGGTTTTCCTGACATTCTAAGCATTAATGTGCTGCGTCTTAGTGTGTTTGATGGTTTAGACTCTGCCAAACCACCTGGAAGTTGAAATCAATTGAGATGTTTATGGTTACTATTGTGTTTCTACTTTTGCAGTAGCTATTGTAACGGAACAGAGGGAAGGAATGTCATGATCAGCTCTTGTGAAATTCGGTTTGTAACCCTTGTTATGTGTGACAGGAGGGAATGTGTGGGACATAAGCGTGAAGGCCACCACGGGACCAGAGATGCTAATGGGAGGATCCAACCGTGGAGAAGGAGGCATCACAGATGACTGTGTGTCAATCTGCTCTCTTAGAATAACCCAGAACCCTGAGGGACAGGGTGAGCATTTATCAACTGCGTGGAGAAGGAGGCATCACAGATGACTGTGTGTCAATCTGCTCTCTTAGAATAACCCAGAACCCTGAGGGACAGGGTGAGCATTTATCAACTGGAAAACGATATCTGTGATGGAAACCAGCTTAGCCTGGCAGCACAAAAAAGAGAAGGGGAAAAGGAAACAACAGGAGATGCCAAATTGCCATCATAAAATCAGCATGCTAGTGCAAAACCCCCTGATACCAATGAAGGAACACTGCTATGTAAAGAATGTTTTTTGCCATAGTTTTGGGGGTACATCCTGCCAAAGACTGGAGCATCGGTCCACACCAATAGACTCCAGCTCCTTCAGACAGAAGCAATCTGGTTAGTCCTGGACAGGGAGTAGTGGGGCGCTGTGTGTGTGTCTGGCTATGTAGGTATATAACTGCTTTGCCATTGTATTCGCAATAAGCACGGCATATTACCTTTCCACCCTGTAACTGAGTCCACCCCTGTGCGGGCTCCCCTCTGTGCCTGAGGGGTGTTGCATAACTTCCTTGCCAGGATGTTCGGAACTTGGTTGCTCCCTGGCTCACTTCCCCCGGAGGCTGCCCTGTCTGGTTGTCACAAGGTTCTGCAGCTAGGATCTCGTAAGCCCTGTCCATGGTGCAACGAGATCTTGTATTCAGCCACTCTTTCTAGCCTCTCACTAAGACGGGGCTTGGCAAGGCCTCCTGCCTCCTGTAAGGGACGTTGGGACCTAGTCCACCCCATAACCCCTCTCCCCCATATAAACAACCCATGTGCTTCCTATAAGCTTTGTAAAAAAAATGGCTACTTCTCAAATACATAACTTGGTTTCTAGTATTTCTGTTCCAGATCATCATCTGAAGTAGTGGGGTTTGCCCATGAAAGTTCATGATAATTTAAAGAAATATGTGTTACCCTTTAAGGAGCCATAAGACTACATCTTTTTAAAATATATTCAAGTTTAATATATTAAACAGTTGCTACATTGCTGAGGGTCATAGAAAGACGCATCCAGTAATAAGGCAGGCAGGTCTAGTTACTCACACTCGGAGATGAGCAAAGGGCGGCAGGAAGAATTTAAGATCCACATTTTCATAGCTGTCTACTGGCATCCTGAATGAGTGACTGCTTTTGAAAACACTACCTCTGGATAGTTTGCCTGAGTAGAGGTAATTGCATGTAGTCCAGACTGGCAGATTTCCTTCCTCCAAACAATTCCTTCATTCTTCAATGAATATCCTCATGGAACAAGAGAAGTGAAAATAAAGTGCAAAGCAACATTCTTGTATTTTAAATATTTTTAATTGATGGTGCAGAGAAGGACGGGGAGCCTGGGAGTGCAGAATCTATTTCCCTATCATATGAACAACAGCAAACATTGGACCATTTTATCAGTTCTGTAATGTTCCCGACAGATGCTTAGATCCCCATGTCTGAGTGTGGAAAGACACCCCTCTCTTAGCCCATGGGTACCAAGCAATAGAAAGGGTTGTGAAATGCAAAGTCTCCACACATCAGTGACATAACTCTCCGATTGCCATAGCACGGTATGATGGAAATCACCTCTCTCCTCCTCACATCAGGACACAAAGCAGGGTACAACTGGTACAATGACACCACAGAGCAGAGAAAGGGCTAGGGAGAAGCAGGAAGCTGCCAAAACTCCCTTTGGTTCACCCACAAAAATCACACACATCACTCTTGGAACTGCCCAATGCAATCAAAACCAAGGAAAGAAGAGGGAGCTAGATTTGATGCCCCCCACCTTCATTGTAATACAGCCAGCTCCCTGTTTTGAAAGCACATCACCTAGATTTTTATGCGCACACAGACCGCAGTAGCTGACCGCAGACGTGACCTCAGGGGAGTCCTGCAGCCCTTGATGGGATACAGAAACATAGGGGCTGTGTCTAGACTGGCAAGTTTTTCCAGAAAATCAGCCGCTTTTCTGGAAAAACTTGCCAGCTGTCTACACTGGCCGCTTGAATTTCCGGAAAAGCACTGACGATCTCATGTAAGATTGTCAGTGCGTTTCCAAAAATACTATGCTGCTCCCGGTCAGGCAAAAGTCTTTTTCCGAAAGACTTTTGCACAAAAGGGCCAGTGTAGACAGCAGAGATTTGTTTTCCGTAAAAAAGCCCCGATCACGAAAATGGCGATCGGGGCTTTTTTGCGGAAAAGCGCGTCTAGATTGGCCACAGACGCTTTTCTGCAAAAAGTGCTTTTGCGGAAAAGTGTCCTGCCAATCTAGACGCTCTTTTCCGAAAATGCTTTAAACGGAAACTTTTCCAATAAAAGCATTTCCGGAAAATCAGGCCAGTCTAGACGTAGCCATATAGTAAAAAGATAATAGTGAACAGTACCAACATGGGCTCCATAAAATGACATCATTGTAGGGTGGGAACTGAATTCATCTGTTTCCGCTGCCCGTCACTCAAGCAGCACTGGGACAAACACAATCGAGACTTGTTTAGCAGTTTGTTCTTTGCTATCCTCAGGGCGTCCTTCACCTCCCTGTTCCTCAGGCTGTAGATGAGGGGGTTCAACATGGGGATCACTGTTGTGTAAAACAATGAGGGTATTTTATCCATACCAATGGAATATGTTGAGATGGGTTGGAAACAGATGTAGAGTTGGGTGCCATGAAACATGCCCACCGCGCACAAGTGGGAAGCACAGGTGGAGAAGGCTTTGTACCGGCCCTCAGCAGAGCGGATGCGCAGGATGGTGGAGAAGATACAGACATAGGAAACGAGAATGGTCACAATGCTGCTCACTATGATGTAGCATGTGGAAGCAAATATCAGAATTTCACAGGTGTGGGTGTCAGAGCAGGAGAGAAGCAGCAGTGGGGCGTAGTCACAGAAGAAATGTTGGATGATATTGGAGCTGCAGAACGACAGCCAGAATAGAGAACACGTCAGTATCAGTGAATCCACCAAACCCACAACACACACCCCAGCCACCAGCTGGTTACAGCGCTGTCTGGACATGATGACCGTATAGAGCAGTGGGTTACAGATGGCCACATAACGGTCATATGCCATCACAGCTAGCAAGAGACACTCAATATCTACACACTGAAGAAAGAAATACATTTGCACAGCGCAGGCAGTGCGAGAAATGCTTTTCCTCTCAGCTATGAAAATCTGCAGCATCTGAGGGACAATCACTGAGGAATAGCAGAGATCAGAGAAAGACAAAATTCGGAGGAAAAAGTACATGGGGGTGTGGAGTCGGGAGTCGATTGTGATTAAGAAAATCATCCCCCCATTACCCACTAGGGTGATAACGTAAATCAGTAGGAACAACACAAACAGGGGGCCCTGCAGCTCCGGATGGTCTGTCAATCCTGAGAGAATGAACTCAGTCGCTTCCGAGTGATTTCCCTCTTCCATCTCCTCTCAGCCAACAACAGGCAGGTCCAGGGATGTGGGCAGGTAGATGGAGCCGGGAACGTGCGCTTTCACTGTTATGAAGTAATGGATGAAAAATGAAGGTCAGTTTTTTTTATAGTTAGCAGTATGAGATCAGGGAAGGGCTTAGTTTGCAGAGCCAAATGTTCACAGCTGGACTTTACACTTGTTTGATCAATTTCACACACCGTACACATACAAAGACACCCAACTTAATCATCCCCCACACACAAACCCCTCCTGTTCCCTATTCTGAGGAGGAAACAGCAACTTGTAACTTTGTTGTGGGAGAATAGGGGTGAAACCATTTCTGTCTAATGACATCATGGCTTAGCTCCTGGGCTAACAGTAAGGGCTGATAGTAAATGACTGTCAATCTCTCCACGCTCCTTGGGCAAGGGGAGCTCTGTGGCTTGGCATGTTGGTTTGGGGTGAAACTTGCTCTCTGTGATAATGAAGCTCTTTGGCATCTGATAACGTCATTTACATTATTGTGTATGAAACCCTTGAGACGCAAAGACAGGAAGGCACCAGCTCCTGTGACTAACTAATCCCCTATCTTTTCCAAGCTATTTTCTCATCCTTTAACTCAATAGGCAGGTGTTAGGACTTCTGTCAGAGACACTGTCCATGTGGGTGTGTGACTCTGAGGCAGGACAACAGCACGTACCTGTGGACAACAGAGAGAGACGTGGCGGCGTTTCTCCATCGATAGAAACTGACACTTTGGTGCAATTGGGAGGTTTTATTCTGAGATCTGTGATCTATGGGACAAGATCCCTGGAGCTACTTGGAATATCTGAGCTCAGAGAGACACAACAACAAATTAATGAACTCAGTGAATCTCTGCCATGGGACTGATACCCCGGGGATTAATTTGGTGCCTTTTTTTCCCTCCTGTGTCAATAAATGATGCAATTTCTATCAGAGTTACAGAGTCCAAGCCTGAGGGATATTTCTTTCTGCTCTTGTCACTATAAGCTGGGTGCTCTGTAGATCTGAGCCAGAAATGGTGTGTTTGTGGAGACCCATATATTTCACCTGAAAGCTTAATATTTCAGCTCAGAAACAAAACACACAGAGATGGCCCACATACCACATCCCACCCTTCTCTGCTATGGGCCCAGCTCTCAGGCTGAACAGCAGGGAGATGTGGCAGCATTTCTTCATCAATAGAAACCGGCAATTTGGTGTAATTGGGAGGTTTTATTCTGAGATGTGTGATCTATGGGACAAGATCCCTAGAGCTAGTTGGAATACCTGAGTTCAGAGAGACACAACAACAAAGTAGTGAGCTCAGTGAATTTCAGCCATGGGACTAATACCCTGTGGATTAATTTGGTGCCTTTTTTCCTCCTGCATCAATAAATGATGCAATTTCTATCAGAGTTACAGAGTCCAAGCCTGAGGGATATTTCTTTCTGCTCTTGTCACTATAAGCTGGGTGCTCTGTAGATCTGAGCCAGAAATGGTGTGTTTGTGGAGACCCATATATTTCACCTGAAAGCTTAATATTTCAGCTCAGAAACAAAACACACAGAGATGGCCCACATACCACATCCCACCCTTCTCTGCTATGGGCCCAGCTCTCAGGCTGGACTCCATCCCTTCTGGTGCATGATGATCTGTCTTCCTGCAGATCTGACCCCGGACATCACTAGAGTTCCCATTCTCACCAGACTATGGCTTTGGGATTTGTTGTTGTGAAGGAGCAGAATTCCATAGAAATCTAATTTCCCACTTAAAAAAATCTTTTAAAGAAAAAATTTCCAGCTGGTCTGAGCACCAGGTTGAAAAACAAAGAAACATAAAGGCCTGTCTCTACTTGTGGGTGGCCTGACTTCAATGTGCTTGGGGCAAGGACTGGTGCAGGAATTGCTCTTAATGGTGTAGATTTGAGGGAGCGTGTCCTCTTGGTTGCTCCCTGTGATGGGCTGCTCTTGGCCCAAATCTTCTGCTGGAGGTTTGTGTCCTGGACACACCTTCCCTGGGCCAAAGAGCAAATGTGGGGTCCTCCAAACAAGCTGGAGATGCTGCTTCTGCTTCAGCCAATCAGGGCCCAGAAAGCCTATGTAACAAAGCTGCTGGGTCATGGTCTGGCAGTTCCTCTCTGGAGCTCCAGCCAGAAAGCCCCAGGAGTCGAATGGGAAGGCTGCGGTACCGCGGACAGCTCCAAGTGGGCGCTGGTTTGCAAACTCAGCTGAAGCCCAGGTTCAGTGGCTGAAGACCAGCCATGTTGAGCTACTGTGAATTGCAGAATCCAGAACAGGGTGCAGTGATGACTTTATTTCAAATCCTGGAAAGAGGGCACCGGCAGGGAAGTTTCTTCTGATGATGAGGGGATGCCTCACATAGCGAATGCAGTGTGAATGGAATTGACTTAGAAGGTAAAATGTAAAAAGAACAAGTTAAAAATCACTAGAAAAGTTAGATGTCTTCACATCACCAGGGCCTGATGAAATGTGTCCTAGAATACTCAAGGAGGTGATAGAGAGGTATCTGAGCCTCTAGCTATCATCTTTGAAAAGTCATGTAAAACAGGAGAGATTCCAGAAGACCAGAAAAGGGCAAATCTAGAGCCCATCTATAAAAAGAGAAAAAAGAATAACCCACAAAACTACAGTCAATTTATCTTCTGTGCCAGGAAAAGATAATGGAGCAAGTAATTAAGGAATTGATCTGCAAACATCTGGAAGAAAATAAAGTGATAGGGAACAGCCAGCATGGATTTGTAAAGAATAAATCATGTCAACCCAATCTGAATGCTTTCCCTGATAGGAGAACAACTCTTGTGGCTAAGGGAGAGGCGGTGGATGTGGTATACCTAGACTTTGGTAAGGCATTTGATACTATCTTGCATGATCTTCTTATCAATGAACTAGGGAAATGCAACATGGATGTGGCTACTATACGGCGGGTGCATAACTGGCTAGATAACCATACTCAGAGGCTTTGTCTACACTGCCATTTTTGCCAGCAGAGCCTATGCAAATGAAGCACGGATTAGCATTTTCCATGCTTCATTTGCATAATGTTTTCAAGCTTGTTCTGCACTCACTCCGGGAGGAGCATAAGGATGTTGCGCAAAATGGTGGATTTGTGGAAAAAAAGCCCAGTCTACATGAAAAAAATGGCTTTAAAAATTATGCAAATGAAGCATGGCAAAATGCTAATCCACACTTCATTTGCATAGTCTCTGACGGCAAAGCCAGCAGTGTAGACTTAGCCAGAGAGTAGTTATTAATGGATCACAGTCCTAGTAGAAGGGCACAAGAAGTCGGGTTCCACAGGGGTCTGTTTTGGGGCCGGTTCTGTTCAATATCTTCATCAACAATTTAGATGATGGCATAGAGGGTTCTATTAAGTTCACAGATCATACCAAGCTGGGAGGGGTTGCAAGTGCTTTGGGGGATAGGGTCATAATTCAAACTGGGTCTGAGAAACGGGAGAAATGGTCTCGGGTAAATAGGATGAAGCTGAATAAGGACAAATGCAAAGTAATCGACTTAGGAAGGAACAATCTGAGTCTCACACACAGAATGGGAAGCGACTGTCTAGGAAGGAGTCCTGCAGAAAGAGATCTGGGGATCAGAGTGGACCACAAGTTAAATATAAGTCAACAGTGTGACACTATTGCAAATAAAGCCAACATAATTCTGGGTTTTATGAACAGGAGTGTTGTGAGCAGGAGACCAGAAATTATTCTTCCACTCTGCTCTCCTTCCTATAAGCAAACCAGAATTGCTTTGTAGAAGAATGGCTTCTTTTCAAATACATAACCTGGTTACTGATATTTCTACTCCAGCTCATCAACTGAAGAAGTGGGGTTTGCCCGTGAAAGCTCATGATAATTTAAAGAAATACGTGTTACTCTTTACGGAGCCAGAGGACAACATCTTTTTAAATATATTCAAGTTTGTGAGGTGCTCAGAATTGCTATGTTGATGAGGGTCATAGAAAGAGCCATCAACATTTTTTACTCTGTACTAAGACAGGCAAGTCTAGTTATTCATACTCAGGGATGGGCAAAGGGAGGCAGCAAGAATTTGAGAGCCACATTTTCATACCTGCCCATTAGCGCTCTGAATTAGTGACTGCTTTCGTAAACGCTGCCTCTGGATAGTTTGACTGAGTAAAGGTAACTGCATGTAGTCCAGACTGGCAGATTTTCTTTCGTCAAACATGTCCCCCATTCTTCAAGGAATATCTCCATGGAACATGGGAAGTATAAATAAAGTAGCAAACCCACATTCTTCTGTTTAAAACAATTTGTATTGATGGTGCAGAGAAGGACAGGGGCGCCCAAGAATTATGAATCTATTTCCCTTTCCTGTGAGCATCAGCAAAAACTGGCACATCAGATAGGTTCTGTAATATTATCAAGAGACGCTAAGATCCCCATATCTTGGAGTGGGGAGACTCCAGTCCCTTAGCTCCTGGGTGCCAAGCTATAGAAAAAGCTTTGAAATGCAAAGCTCTACTCGTCACTGACATACATGTCCCATTATTCTAGCACAGTGTGATGGAAATCATCTCTCTCCTCCTCGTGCCTGGACACAAAGCAGGGGACAATAGGTAGAAGACGTCTGCAGAGCACAGAAAGGGATGCAGAGTAGAAGGATGCTAGATAAACTCCCTTTGGTTGACCCACAGAATTAATACGTGACACCCTTGGATCTGCCCAATGAAATCAACACTGCTGGAAAGAAAAGGGAGCTGTGAGTGTGGGATGGGATTTTTTGGAAGGAAAACTAGATTTCCATGCAAATCTAGTTGAAATGAAAATCCAATTTCCCACTTTAAAAAAAATCCTTTAAGGCCCACATTTCCAGCCTGAGCACCGGGTTTGG